CCTCTACAAGCCATCTCATAGCAGGTCATTGTCTCCTTGGAAACTGTCTCCCATAGCCATCAAATACTGGCTATGCTGTGACAACCAATGACCCCAAGAGTGGGCAAATATGACCTCAGAGCATGACAGGCTCAAGCCATCTTGGTGCCTGACCTGTCCTCCTCAACCAGCCCTCTGCTAAGTGGATGACATGGCCCAGCTCCACCCCTAAGAAAAACATGACACACCGGAGGCTCCTAAAGTCGTTTTATTGTAAAACCATAAATACAACACCGACATGAACTCGTGAACACACTAGGCGGCTGATCCTCTAGTCATTGAAAGGATGTGTTTTTGCCTTGGCATCAACCAACTGGGAGATGTTTTGGGAGTCGGGGGAGGAACTGAATCTTGTGCTGGGGCTTTTGGTGACTTAAGGAACCCAGTGGAACCTTCTTCTTCTCCACGGGAACATTCCACTTTTGGACAAGAACAGACAGGTAAAAACAGCAACATTGAAACAGCTCAGTTTTAAATTTTATTACTTTGTAAAAATCTCTCTTTTTAAATTTTCTGTCCATTTCCTCCATTTAACATCAGTAAAATTTTTAAACATCATGAAATCGACTTGGCTGTAAAATGGAGAAACAGTATCCAAACCAAAAACAAAACACCCCAAAGGACACACAGAAAACCCTAAAGAAACCCGCAAGTTTGGCCTTGGGAGTTTCTGTATCACAAGAACCGGCAACTCAACCCCCATGCAATGTGGCTCCTTGAAGGACTGCTGGATCCACGCCATAGATACAGGAGACCACCAACGACATCTTTGTTAATTAACACAGCAAGTGTGACCTAGGGAACTTTTTAAAATACAGTACATGGTACACAGGGTCCCTAAGACAGCCCTGCATAAACCCCCGTGAAGACTTGAGCCAAGCGCTGGCTGTTTATAAAAATATTATGTTGCTACAAAAGTATAAATTAATGCTACTGGTATTAAGAAATATTAAACACATAAAACTTATAAGGATTAAGAAAAATATTCATTAATACCTGTAGAAAACTCTGGCCTAAAAAAGATATTTTTTTGTGTGTGTGTTTGCTTTTTTGTAAATTTTATTGTGTTTTTAATTTTTTTTTAAGATGACTTGAGTTTCTTGCACTTGAAGCGAGACACGGATGTGTCTATGGTATTGCCTAGAATGTCTTTACTACTGAGACAGGATGGGGGCACACACATGTGGTCACTGAGTAGGAGGGCATGAGGGATGGGGGCACCAAGGCGTTCTCAAGATTTACCTGATGTGAACGGATCACCCACATGAAATTGTGGGACAAAGAAAAAAAAAAAGACAGGATCAGGAGACAACTGAAAATCACTCATGCCTCTTAAAAATATCTCTGCTCCAGGTTGTTGTACAAAATGGTTTCCTGATGCTTGGGGTCCAGAAGGCCCTGCCACATGGCTCTTGCTATTTCCTGGCAGGCCAGACCCAGCCTGCATCAGGCCACAAGCTTGAGCCTTGCTGGGGAAGCCACCCACCCTGGCTGGGTGGGAGAAGGGTCCCAGGAGAGCCTTCGGGTACCTGGGTTGTGGGAGGAGCCCTCCTTCCGGATGGCCTGCAAATTCAGGCCCCTAAGGACAAGGCTGGGCTGTGCCCCTTTAAGGAACTTTGGTTCAAAGAGTCAAGGTGCCCAACGGGATGCTTGGGTGGGTAGGACCTTGGTGTGTCACGATGCTAATGCTAACTCCAAGCCTTGTCAATTTCCCATATGGGAGTGGAACCCTGAAGGTGCCACCCTCTTCCATGTGAGGACTACAACTGCTCAGAGACCACAGGTTCCCTTGGTCAAAGCCAGGGCTCTCTAGACTGCCATCCCCAGATCCAAAGGAGACAGGAAAAAAACCACCCCAGCCATAGAATCCCCCTGGAGCCCCTGCCAAGGGGAGACGGGAGGGAAACCCAAGAGGGAACTCTGTATCATTGGTTCACCATAAATGGCCTAGCAAACATTAGCCACAGTGAAAGGGAGGCACGGCCTCCTTGCCAGCTCTCCCTGTGCCCTGGGGACTGGAGCCCCTGTGCACTGTCTCCAGGGTATAGCCTGAGACTCAGTCTCTTAGTTCTGCCCCCAGAAGCCTTCCTCTAGATATATTCCAGACACAATAGTGTCACACCACTGCCAAGGCCAGGAAGCTTGGGGCTTGGCCCAGCTCATGGGATACTGAGTGCTCCTCTTCAAGCATGACATGGCAGGGTCTGGGTGGCATCTCACAGAGTATCCCTTGACCTGCATCCCAGCTTTGATCCTTCTTGGTGACCCTGTGTCCTCAGAGTGAGTATGGATGGTGCCCAGGCCCTCCTCAGGTGTCCCCTTCCTTGGGCAGTCTAGCCTGAGGCCAGGAAAATAGGGGACCTTGGGCTCCAAAGCTTCACAGTGGAAAACATGCCTTGCAGAATTCTTCCAATTCTTCAAAGTGCAGGAGATAAAATCAGTCAAACTGAAATGAAGACTCTTCCTTCCTAAAAACCTGGAGCTGAGTTCTCATCAGTATAACCAGCTGCCCTTCTCACCAGGAGACGGGTACCTTTCCCTCAGCCCAGAGCCAGCCCCACAAGGCCAAATGTGAAGCCATCAAGTGGGATGGTGACATCATATGCGTTGTGGCCCATGGCTTCCTGTGCAGGCAACCCCTAGGGATGAAACGCAGACAGCTGTGCTCAGCACCCATCTTGCTTCGTGGTTGCTGAATGCCATGCAAGGGAGACTTGACAGGTAGACTTGGGTGTTGGGAACAGAGTCATGGTGAGAACAAGTGTTTCCATGGACAACCACTCCTCACAGACCTGAGACCACTTGAATGTTGAATCCCAGGGCAACAAGCTGCAGGCCTTGTCTTGGGCTTCATTGGGGAAACAAAGTGACCTCAGATTCATGGAGAACCTTGCTAATGGAAGTGCATCTTCTCTACTTCCATGTTTGGATTCAGGGATGTCAAAGCAAAGACCATTTTTGGACAGGGAATCATACAGCTTGAGGTAAGCTATGAGAACAGGACAGAAATGGCCCAGCTTCCTGGTCTCCCAGACCCCCAAAGCCTCTGGTGTAAAGACCTTTAGTGGTCACAGAAGAATGAGGCAGATGACAAAAACTTTCTGAAGGTCAAGGCCAGCCCAGGCCATTGGAGATGAACTGAAAGAGCCTATCTTAGTGCTTTGGCTGAAGTAGAATTTGGTAAGGTGGCTATTGCTGTTGATGGGGCCTGTGGCTGGGCCTGGGAGATCTTTGGGATTTATTGAGCTGTTTGCTGCAGGACGTGCACTGTGAGATTGCCCACATGACAGCACACATTGGGCACAGTCTCTCTGGTTGATGACACTAGAGAGAAATGATTGACAGCCTGCCTGCCACCTTATAATCTGTGAGGATGAGGCAGCCTTGGAGACAGGTTTCTGAGGACTGACTGAGGCTCACATTGAACCTACAGAGGCGATCTCAGCCCAGGGATAGATTCAAGGTGCCAATGAACTGGACAGGACGTAACGACCTCTGACCAGAAGCCTGGAGTTTAACACTAATTTTCTTTCTGGGGGGCGAATGTTCCATGCTCTGAAAAGAATGCTTGAAAAGCACAGCTGGGCTTGGCTGATGATTAGCCAATAACAGCAGCTCAGCCCAGCTCTGCCCGAGGATCTGTTTTCACTGACCGCACTCAGCACCCAGCTCCCAGTGTGGCTACCTGTGCCAGGTTGTGGCCCCTTCCCCAACAGCTGAGGGAGACTGGAGGTAGCCATCCTTAGCTATCCAGAGCCCACCTCCTGGAATGTTCCCCAAGCAGTCTGAAGACATTCCTTCATTCTTCAGGGAGTGACTCTGAGTTCCTGTCTAGATTTCTCCATTGTGGACAGCGGTTCCTCTGATGGTTAAGACCCAAGTTGAAGACACTATGCTGAAAACGCCTGAAGTCCCCCTGGAGTAGAGATTGTAAGGTGGTTCCTGAGAACATAGCTTGCTGGAGTGAATGTGGGCACAGCCTTCTCTCATTTATCTGTATATCTGAGACTCTGCAGGAGAGCTGGGTTCGTCTTGTGAGGCAGAGTGCAGGCTTAGTCCTCAAGGACAGTTTTCTGAAACCTTGAAGAGAACCAGAAATCTTTGGGTCTTTAAACCCTCTTCACTCCTGTCCTGCTGGGGACTCGAGGGAGAGGGCTATGGGTACAGTGCTTTTGAAGTCGAGGTATCTTTCAGTTGAATAATGCTTTATAACTAGGAAGAGGAGGGCAGTCCAAGCCCCAGGTGGTAAAGTGTGCATTGCCATGCCCTGGCTGTTCTACGTGGGTTTTGGGAATCCAACTCAGCTTCTCATTCTTACAAGGCAAACACTCTACTGACAGCCATTTCCCCAGCTCTTCAGTGTCCTTTTCTGTGAAATGGCCTTAACGTTAATGTGACATTGGAGAGGGCCACTTTGAGAATTAAATGGTGAACATGTTTAAAACTCTCAGACCAAGACCTGGCAGCAAGTATCAGCTGAAATGATGCCAGGCTGTTCTTATGAGCTCTGCCAGGGATTGTGTTTTCTGGACCTTTACAAAGGGGATGGAAAGTCAAACTTGTAGAGTTTCATGTACCGCACTCAACACACACCTGACACGTGGCAAGCTACCATTCACTATAGTTAGCATCATGACTGCTAGATCTACTCCTGAACTGTCACCAGGGCAGACAGGTTCCCTCCAGCATATAAGTTTACTAGCGTGAATTAGCCTGTGCCATTCAGCAGCCCTTAATGAGATTGGTGTTACTTGAGGCTGATCCCCTTATCTAGTGGTGTTGCGAACTGCGCCGCTCACAATGCTTCGTTTCTCTCCATGAAGCCAATCTGCTGGGGATGTCTCTCTGTATGCTGTGAAAGTGTTGCTCCGATTGATTGATAAATAAAACGCTGATTGGTCAGTAGCCAGGCACAAAGTATAGTATAGGCGGGATAAACAGAGAGGAGAATTCTGGGAAGTGGAAGGCTGAGTGAGGAGTTGCTGCCAGCTGCCGCCAGGAGAAGCAAGATGTAAAGCACCGGTAAGCCACTAGCCACGTAGCAACTTATAGATGAATAGAAATGGGTTAATTGAAAATATAAGAACTAGATAGCAAGAACCCTGAGCCATTAGGCCAAAGAGTTTAAATAACATAAGCGTCTGTTTGTTTATTTGGGTCTGAGTGGCTCCGGGCATCGGGCAGGACTGGAGATAACTCCAACTACAACAGTCCTTTAACCGTGATTCAGCCTGGCCTGGATTCCGCCTGGCTTTGCACTGGATGGTGGGGAAGGCATTCTCTGGCTGCGCTGGACCAGCACAAAGCAACCCTTCAGCAACTCTGAACAAGCCGAGATGCTGGGGGTAGTGGGGCCACTTCCTGGCTCAGCCATACTTCCGTCAGAGTGATGGGGAAGCACCCCCATACAGACTCATGCCTCATTACAGCGTCCCCCAGTTGGTGGAAACAGGGGAAGCTCAGGAGAGGAGAGGAAGAGAGAGAGAGAGAGAGAGAGAGAGAGAGAGAGAGAGATGCATTTCTCTCTCCATTTTCCTCTTCTGAGATTTTTGTGACTTTGTCCCCAGTGTTGAGATAACTTCCCTTCCGGGACCTCACTCTCCTGTGCACTCATGTCTGGACATGTCCTCTCTTTGGGTGAGTCCTCCTCCCCTGGCTTCTGCTTCCCATCACTATACTCTGCCTTAGATCATTTCCTCATTTGCCAGCCTCCTCCTCAAACCCTGTCAGGGTCCCTATTCTGGTCCTAGCGACAAGCTTGAAAGAATGAATACTTGAATACCTATGACATGAGAGTGAGGGTGTAGGCATGGGCTATAAGCTGAGTGACCTTGAACAAGTCCCCTCCCCAATGTGTTCGTCTGAACACTGAGACACTGCTGTGCTGGGTTCCTGGGTGGGCATCTCCCCACCTTCAAATTATTCCAGAATCATGATGATTCCTGTGAACTTTGGGCCCCCTGGGAGGGCAGGGCCCCTCAGCTTCTACTTTGAAATAAAGGAGAAGAAGGAATGGGGATCCTAGGTCTGCCTGTCTTCTGTCCCTGCAGCCCCTGTTAATGTTTAAAAATGGTTCAAAGTCCAGATGGCCTTGGCTGGGGTCCCCTCTGCTTGCTCTGGTTAATAAATTTCAGGAGTGCAAACAGCTGGAGCAAGAGGAGAGATCAGCACCCTTGGCCATCCTGTGGTCACCTCACCCTCACCCCCGCCCCACACCTTCCACTCATGGGCATGTTGAGTACTAAGTAAACTCCCAGCTTGCCCTCACCCCAGCAGGTTGTACTACGAGCATATGGGCTTGTCCCCAAGACTCAGAGGTCAGAGCTGGGGTACCCTGAGTTCTTTAAGTTTTCCAGTCTGCCAGGAAGGGCAGAAAGGTCATGTTGGTGGCTAGAGAGATGGTTCAACAGTTTAGAGCAGTGGCTGCTCTTCCTGAGACCCCAAGTTCAATTCCCAGCACCCACATGGCAGCTCACATCTGTCCATAACTCCACTTACAGGGTTTCTGATACCTCACACAGACATACATGAAGTCAAACTACCAATGAACATAAAGTGAGAATAAAATGCATATATATAACTTGTTATATATAATATGTTATTACATACTACATATCAATTATGTATAAAACATCTTATATATTGCGATATAGTTATATGAATATATAAACTTACATTTATTATAGCATTGTAGGTTATTAATATTACATATTAATATATTCATATGGAATATATCTCTATAACTCTATAAAATATATTATATATTATTATATAATAAATTATATATATATATGGATGTATAATGCATGTAGCCCAGGTAGTAGGACAGTCACGGGGTGGGCATGGACATTCATAGACTGTGTCTACAAGTGGGTCTCTCTTGCCCTCCAGGTGGGCTAAATGGTAACTGTCCTGTCCTCTCATTTGCTGATAAGGGTAGAGGGAAAGGTGTCCCCAAGCTCCCACAGAACAAGGAGTCAAGATGCCTCACTTCTGCTTCTCTGTTCTCCATCTCAAGTCACCTCCTTGTGTCCACCGTTAGTCAACTGTAAAAGACTGAGACACTGGGCTGCTGAGATGGTTTAGTGGGTAAAGGGCTTGCTGCCAACCTTGATAAGTCAAGTTCGATCCCTGGAACCCACAAGGTGGAAGGAGAGAACAGACTTCCGCAAGTTGTCCTCAGATTTCCACATGTACCTCCACCACAGCACATGCACTGTGGCATGTGTACTCCAGTCCAGACTATTCCCAATCAATTAATCAATATTAATCTTTAAAAAGTCTGAGAATCAGGAACACAAAAGAGGGTAACTATGCCAGAAAGTTAAGCCAAGACAGTTGCTGTGTTGAACTGTATATGGAGGCCTTGTGCTTTCTGTCAGCCAGAGCCAAAAAAAAAAAAAAGCCAATTCCATCCATGGACAAGCTGTCAGTTATGGTGCACAGGAAACCCTCTCATTTACAAATAGACACATGTGCTCTGGATACCAGCAAAAGGGGACTGTGTCGGCTGGGCCTCACAGAAGGTCATAGCGCACCATTTGCTCAGGCACTGACTATGGAAGGGAAGCCCTGATTCTTTCAGAGCCCTTGCTCTCAGGAGTCAGCTGTAACAGGGATGCTTTGCTGCATGAAGGAATCTGTCACAAGAGGAGCAGGGAGGTAGGAAGGATGGTGGCTGGAACCCCTGGAGAAGAGAGAAGCACATGGAGACAGATCATAGTATCATGGAAAGGAGTTTTTAAAAACTCCTTTTAGAATATGTAAATCTAGAGGCCAAGGATGGAGCTCAGTTGGTAGAGCTCTTGCCCAACATGCACAAAGTCCTGGGTTTAACCCCCAACAGCATAAACCAGGCAATGGTAGTGCATGCCTGTGATCCAGGCACTCATGACATGAGGGCAGGAGGATCAGATATTCAAAGGCAGTTCTGACTCCAAATGGAGTTCAAGGCCAGGCTGAGCTATATAAATCCCTGTCTCAAAGAGAAATTTTTGTTGTTGTTTTAGATTGAAAGGTTACTATGTTACTCCCTTGGGCTGCTGTTGCAAAAGACTCCAAATCCCTAGGAACAAAACAAAATAAGTGTGTCATCCTGAACAGACTTGCCATGACGGATCTCATCTAAAAGTAGGACCCTGATCTGGGGTTCTGGACAGACATACATCTTGCAGAGGTGGTAAGTTACCCTACACAGACACTTCAGGGATAACACTGCTGCCCACTGGAATAACCTCTTCAGCCCTCTGTGGTGGTATTGTGTTCCCCAAAATATTGTGCACCTTAATAAACTTATCTGGTGTCAGAGACAGAACAGTCACTAGATACAAAGGCTAGAAAATGGTGGCACTCAAACCTTTAATCCTAGCACTCCAGAGGTAGAAATCCCTCTGGATCTCTGTGAGTTCAAGGCCACATTGGAAACAGCCAGGCATGGTGACACACGTCTTTAGTCCCAGAAAGCCAGCCTTTAATCCCAGGGACTGGTGGTAGAAAACAGAAAGGTATATAAGGCATGAGGACCAGAAACTAGCAGCATTTGGCTGGTTAAGCTTTTAGGTTTTGAGCAGCACAGTTCAGCTGAGAGCCATTTGGATATGGGGACACAGAAGCTTCCAGTCTGAGGAAACACGATCAGCTGAGAAGTTTGCCAGGTGAGGTTAGATGTGGCTTGTTCTGTCTCTCTGATCTTCCAGTGTTCACCCCAATACTTGGCTCACGTTTGATTTTATTAATAAGACTCTAAGATTCCTGCTAAAGCTCTCACCCCAGGGCTAGCATCCAGATACTGATGTTAGCTCTGCTTATGGGTGAAGAAAAGAGAGGCCCAGCAACCTTTCCAAGCTCACACAGCAAGAAGACCACAGGAAGCTGCCTGGCTTTGGAATCTCTGCCCTTGACCTCCTACAGGTGCTCCCTCTCTCATGGTGGGGCCCTGGGTCATTCTTGTCACTCCTGGGATACTCACGACATATGTCTGGAAAAGGGCCATGCACAGGTGGGTGTGGGGGGTTCAGCTGGGTCCTGATACTTCCACTGTGAGAAACCAGTGTGGCTCCATGAAGGGACATCATCCCTCCTTGTTATATTGATCATCAGGGACTGAGAAGCTGGAGATGAAAAAGATCCCTGTGGGGAAGGATGCCAGGGCCTGGTCTTGCTCTGCAGTCAGTTTTCCTGGGTCTCAGTTTTATCATGTGAGAAACAGGCCAGAGCAGGCAACCTGTCCCTGCTGGCTCACTGGCATGAGGTAGGACTAGAGGAAGTCATTGTCTGACTCCCCTAGCCCCTGTGCACCCTGGGGAGAGTTAGACCTATTAGAAAACCTCTCTAGAGTCTGAATCCTATTGTGCTTGGTCAAGGTCCCTTCGGAGTCAGGAACCATGACTTCCTGTCCACAGAGTTGGACCTGGGCTGGACTGCAGGAATCGATTAAAGCTGGCCCAGGACCCTAAGTGACCAGGCTGAGCAAACACCAAGGTCCTCATATACCTCCGGCCTCTTCCCCAGCTTCACTCTGCAGCTGACCCAGGCAGGGAGTAGTCCTTTGAGACCTCAAAGGCCAAAGACCCCAGAGCCATGCAGGGTCTCGGGACTCTGTTCCTGCTGCTGACTGCCTCTCTGGCTTCAAAGGCTGACCCAGTGGAAACACTTCCAGACATCCAGGTTCAGGAGAATTTCAGCGAGTCTGGGGTAAGATTCATTTCTCTGGCTGAGATGGCCACAATGGTGGCATGTCCATGCCACTGGGCCTTGCTGGTCAAGGCCTGTCTGTCATGGGATGTCTGTCTTCCCATCTTGTACACAACATCTCAATCCCTAGGGCTCCGTCCTGGCATGACTCTTAGGCAGGTTATTCTGGGATTCTAGGAAGCTACAGTTCCCTCTCATGTCATTCAGGCTATGGGACCCTCTGTGAGCCTAATGTCTTCCCAGTCTGCCCTGTCCTCATGAGTTCCCAGAAGAATCCACATGTGGCAGGAGGCACAGGATGGGCATGGGCCTGTGAGCTTTGGGGACAAGCTTGTGGGATCATGGGAGGAAGAGAAGCAGGATACAGGTTGATGGGGATGGGGAGTATTAATCTAAGGGCACACTGGCCTTTGGCAGGCATGGGACTCATGTGTCTATGTGGATGTGTGTTTGTGCAAATATTTGTATATGCGTGTGTGTATGTGTGTGTACATGTAAGTATTGTGGAGCCGGCAGGCCTAGCTGTCCCGAATCATAAAGTGATAAGGCTGGCGGACCCTGTCTGTCTCCATGGTCTATCTGAGGGACTCTCAGAACTCTCCAGGTGATTTTCTATACCTTAGGACAAGGAACAGGTGTGCTGTGGGTGTAGGGGTTGGAAGGTCAGCACCATCAGCATGGTGTCAGGAGGAAGAGGTGGTTGGCTGGTCCCACAAGGCCCTATCAGGTTTGTAGTGTCTCCATGGCATGTCCACAGGCTGCCTCACAAGGTGTCGGACACCGCTGTGGAAGGCATAAAACCCAAGCCTCACACTCCTGGGCAGTGGTGGCTGGTGTTCTCAGAGTATGCTGTCTGGACTCTACTGCCTACAGGGGTATCACAGACACTTTACACCTATGGTTAGACTTTGTGCAAGGCGGGGACATTGCACACTTCTGCCCTCACTGTGCTGTGCCTGGAATTCCATTATCAGCCCTAGACACTGTCCTAAAGGGCTGGCCCTTGGAGGAAAGAAGGGGAAAGTGGACATGTCTTCTCAAAGGCCTGGGTGAATCCAGATCCTAGCTTGTGGTTCTTCCTAGATCTATGGAAAATGGTTCAACCTGGCAATAGGCTCCACCTGCCCGTGGCTGAGGAAGATTAAGGACAAGATAAGCATGAGCACACTGGTACTGCAAGAAGGGGAGACAGAAGCAGAGATCAGTGTGTCCAGCACCCGATGGAGGTGAGTGGGGGCGCAGGAGCGACCAGGTTCCCAATAACCCCCACCTTGTCCTGGAAACCACAACTAGGGCCTCGCTTCCGAGTCTCGGGTGTCACTTCTGTCCACCCTCAACAAACATCTTGTGTGCCTCTCAAGGACCGTGTCTCCAACCCTAGGCTTCTTGTGCAAGCTGCCTTTCCTTGGGGTTCCCTCAGCTGGGGAAGGGAACAACTACCCTACAGACCTAGCCAGGAGGCCTCAGGCCAGCAGGTCTAGGGTGGAGTAACTAGACTCTACTCACTCCTTTGTGCTGCAAAACAGCCATCATGAAGATCTGCCTCTTCTCCAAGGCCCTCCCTCCTATTCTCTCTCCACTTCTGCCACTGCAGTAGAAGCCTCCCTCCCTCCCTCTCTCCCTCCCTCCCTCCCTTCCTGTCTCCTGCAGCCTGTCTACTTCCCTTTCCACCTTCTACCTCACTCTTTCCCTCTGATCCAGTCTTCACCCAGCAAAGAGAATGACCTTTAAAAAAAAAAAAACCATACCCACTGAAGAGAACCTTCCATGGCTTCCCACTGTCCTCAGTATTAAGAGTGAAATCTTGGTGCTGGAGAGATGGCTCAGAGGTTAAGAACGCTGGCTGTTCTTCCAGAGGTCCTGAGTTCAACTCCCAGCACCCACATGGTGGCTCATGACCACCTGTAATGAGATCTGGTGCCCTCTTCTGGTGTGCAGGGATTCATGCAAAGAGATATACATAATAAATAAATAAATGTTAAAAAAAAAAAAAAGAGTGAAATCTTGACGCGGCCTCTAGGCCTTTCAGCTCTCGTTTCTCCCTGCTCCATGCTCTCCCATGACAGAAATAGCTAGAATACTACATGATACATGAGAAGTGATCCCAGTGATGGCCATAGGGGCCATCATCCCCATCGGGGACATCAGGCCATGACTGAAAGCTGAGCATTGGTCCATCACTGCCACCAGGGTAATGGGCAGCGATGACAATGTGACTTTACTGCTCACCCTGCCAGGAAGCAGGAATAAAAAGGGGATTTCCAAGGTCTAGGATGACCATGAAACAAGATATTTGGAAACATTCACTTACAAACAAACACAAAAAGGACATTTTGGCTTGGTCATTGCCAGGAGAGGTGTCTGTGAGGAGATCTCCTGGACCTATGAGAAGACAGACATCGATGGAAAGTTCCTCTCCTACAATCCCAGTGAGTGTGGGGACACACCACAGTCCCTTCCTTTCCCTTTCTCTCCCTGCTACCATTGCAGCCTTCTTTCCAGTGTATCTGAGGAGTCATGCAGGCTGCCCTCAAATGTTTGAGCTCCACAGTTCCTCTCATTTAGCATCTGTCCAGAACTGGGAGAGGTGTAGATTGCCAAAGTTAGCAGCTCCCCACCTGCAGGCCTCATGCTTGGTTCTAACTGACAGAGGAATGTGGGTCCAAATTGACTCACAGATTAACAACTGTCTGTGGAATCTCCTCTGTGTGCCAAATCATTGTGCAGGAGATGAACACTGAATGTTGACAGAGGACGGGAATACTGATGGGGTGAGCAACAATAAGTAGATGAAGGGGATGACAGATGGGTTAATGGGTCATCTGAAGACAAGTGGATGGAGTGACCAAAGGAAAAAAGAAGGAAGGAAAGAGACAGGAGAGAAGGAAGCAGAAGGGTGGAAGGAAGAAAGGAAAACCGGGCATGGTGGTTCGTGCTTATATTCCCAGCAATAAGACAGAGGAAGAGGGACCAGAAGTTCAAGGGCATCCTTGGCTACATAACAACCTGAAAGGCCAGCCTGGGCTAAATGAGACTCCTCTTTTTTTGTTAGTTTGTTTTATTTGGGGGAGGGGGTGTTGAGACAAAGTTTCTCTGTATAGATCTGGAGCCTTTCCTGGAACTCACTCTGTAGCCCAGGCTGGCCTCGAACTCACAGAAATCCACCTGCTTCTGTCCCCCAAGTGCTGGGATTAAAGGGGTGTGCCACCACAAACTGGCTTGAGACACTTCTTTAAAAAGTAAAAGAGGAGGAAGGAAAGAGCAGGAATGGAAGGAGAGGTAATGGGAAGGGGACAGAGAGAAGGAGAGGGAAAAGGTGGGAGGAAGGGTGAAAGGGATGAAAAGAGGGAGGTGAGACAAAGAGAGGGAAGGAACCAGGGAGGGAGGCAGACAAGGAGGAAGAGACCTGCAGGGGATGGATGGAGTGGAGCAGGGCGAGTCAATGCTGTCTAGTAGGTGGAGAGAGAGGCTGATGCTGGAGGAGCAGAAGGTGAGACCCTGGAAGCGTCATGTGGTTGTGGGGAAGGATGCAGGCGTGCTTAGTGATGGGCCTCCAGGGTGAAGGGCCTGACCACTGACTCCTCTGGGCTGCCTGTGTCTCCCACACAGAATGGAACGCAACCTTGGAAACCTATGTGGCCCACACCAACTATGAGGAGTATGTCATCTTCCTTACCAAAAAATTTACCCGCGACCATGGACCCACCATCACTGCCAAACTCTATGGTAAAAGCCTTGTCAGTCAGCCTGTTGGAGCTGGTGTGGGAAGAGGTTGTTACTCTATGGACCATGGGGAAGGAGCAGGAAGTTTGCTTTTTCTTGGTGAGAGAACTCTGGTTAGGGAGGGACAAGGGGTTTTGCCTTGAGGATGAAGAGCCCAGCCTCCCTGGTGAGGTAGACTTCGCATTCCATCTCCAGAAGGAACTCCTGGGGCTGGGAGACTGTTCAGTGGTTAAATCCCATGAGGTCAAATTGGGATACATAAAACCCACATAAACAGGAGATAGGCATGGTCTCCTGCCTGTAATTCCAGTCAACAGGGGACCCCCACACAAGCTGGGAAGTAGACTAGCTGTGTCAGTGAGTTCCGAGTCTGACTGAGAGACCCCGCCCCAATGAGTAAGGCAGGAGAGTGATCGAAGTTGTTTTCCTTCTTCAACCCCTAGCCTCCGCCTGCACAGCTGCCCACATAGACAACACGTGTGCACCCAGGAAAATGGAAAGGGGCAGGGAGAAAGTGACCCCAGGGCCACCAGGGCCCAGACAGAGCCAACAGGAAGAGCCCTGAATAAGGACCCAGGACCTGTGATGGGCCCAATCTCTCTCTCTTTTGGGGAGCCATATTTCAACAGTGTGTCAAGGAGAATAAATGGCTCAATCCTTTCCACACTTTTCCCTGGACACAGTCATCCTACCTGGCCACCCTGGGTGCCTTGGACTTTAGGTATCTCCTCTGCTTTCTATTTGCAGGCCGGGAGCCACAGCTGAGGGACAGCCTTCTGCAGAAGTTCAAGGAGGTGGCCCTGAGCGTGGGCATCCCTGAGAACTCCATCATTTTTATAGTTGACAGAGGTAAGTGACATCTTGGCCCAGTCTGAATTTTGGTCCTCCCATCCTTCCTGCCCACTGAGGACATCCTCAGTCCCTGCACATTTCCTATACCACTCAGAGACAAACAAGTCCTCTCCCTCTCTACAGGGACTGAGAGAGCTCCTGGGTTTATCCCCATTCTCAAAGCACACACTAGCAGAGCCAGCATTTGACCAATTCCATTTTTGTCCCACGGTCACGAATCTCCATGCATGTATCCACAGACACTGCTGAGGAAGCAGCAGAGCCTTGGGGTTGAAGGCACAGACTCCACAGTCGGGTACCCACATTCAAGTTTAGTGGTTCAAGCACAGAGGCGTGGCTTCTGGCTAGCCTTCCTAGAGCCTTCCTTTCCTCATCTGTCAAATGGGATAACAGTGCTCTCCCCCAAAGCCTACTCTGAGGTGTCAGTGAGTTAAAGCCATTAGAGACTGCAGCATGGTGACTTGGAAGTGCTCTGTAGATGCCACTATCGAGAACCTCCTGAGGATACGGATGGGATGTTACTAGGGCAACAGATGGTAGTGATGGTGCAGCCAGCGTTCTGTGGATGGTCCCATCCATGGCTCTGAGTGATGCAAGGAAGGCTGTAGCTAGAGTTTTCCTGCCTGGCCCACAGTCAGGATAAATCTCTCCCCCCTCCAGTCCCACAGTCGCTCAGACCCGACCAAGTAAACACAGAGACTTTTACTGGTTACAAACTGTATGGCCGTGGCAGGCTTCTTGCTAACTGTTCCTACAGCTCAAATTAATCCATCTCTATAAATCTATACCTTGCCACATGGCTCGTGGCTTACCAGCATCTTCACATGCTGTTTCTCATCGTGGCGGCTGGCAATGCCTCTCTGACTCAGCCTTCCACTTCCCAGCTTTATTCTCCTCCTTGTCCCGCCTACACTTCCTGCCTAGCCAACGGCCAATCAGTGTTTTATTTATTGACTAATTAGCAACACATTTGCCATACAGAACATCGCACAGCAGAAGGCCTTCCAGGAAGTGCTCTAAAGCACAGGACATGTTGTTTACCTGGTACCAAACAGAAATCTGGGTCTAGGATCTCTGTCTGCCCTCCCAAACCTGGGCCTCTTGCTCACTCCTCTTTTGTGTCTTCTGCCTAGGGGAATGTGTCCCCGGGGACGTGAAGCAAGAGCCCACTTCACTTCCGGTGAGTATGTCTTCCGGCCTTCCTCAGCAGCCCAGGGAAGCAATCAGGAGCATCCCAGTAAGGGGTGGGGGCTGGAGAGTCCAGCTGTGGTCTCTTTCCAGATGATCAGGCTGGTCCACTCTCTGTCTCAGCTTCTCACCTCGGAAATGGGCCAAAGCCAGGAACCTAGCTGGTCTTAGCTGGACCAGAGAAGATGATAATTATTCATCAGCAGAAGGCATGCAGGGCAGCTGAGGATCTTGGTGGAGCTGGCCTCTGGATCCTTCAGGCTAACCATATGGACCAAAGGGATCCCCCTCCCTTGCTTAGTGTTGAACCCAGGCCCTGACACATGCTAGGTGCTGGGCTGGTTTTTTTTTTTTAATGCTTTTTGTTTTGAGGCAGGGTCACAGTGAGTTGCTCAGTCTGCCTTGAATTTTCCTTGTAGCCCTTGAAGGCCTTGATTTATTATTTTCCTGCCTCATCTTCCTGAGTAGCTGGGAATACAATCCTGTACTACCTGGAAGGGCCACAAGGGAAATTAGAAACCAGCTTTAAGCTCTTGTAAAAAGGCACAAAGCACTCACCTCTCCAACTTCTCAGTACCCACTGCAGGGTTAGCGCTCAGCTGGTAGGAGCTGCTCTTAAAGGGATGACCAGGGTATGCTGGCCACTTAGCATTCTCAGGGCCTTGGTATTCCCACTGGAGAATGGTACCCATACCAAGTCAGAAAGCCAGGCTGTTCCATGCAACAGCCATGGGAGAGAAGTCATTTAGCAAGAAATGTTTCATCCCAACTCAAGGACCTAGCCTGAGTTACTTTGTATCCGCAGGGTACAAGGAGCTAATACAGAGCTGAAGGTGCCAGTCTGCAAGGCAGAGGGCGGCCACTATCCCTCCCAGTGTGGGCTGGCCCAGGTGATCTGGACCCAAATAAAACAAGCTGTCAACTCCTGGCCTTCTGTGTGTTGGAGTCTCTCTGTCATGTTGTTGTAATACGGGGATTGGGGAAGGAAGCTCTGGTCATGAGTAATCCAGCCTTGCCAGGAGAGAAAGACACAATGGGACAACTTGGTGAAGTACAAGGTCCTTGCTGTGCCCCACTTCAAACACAACAGTCCCTAATTCTGCGCTAGTGTAGAGGGGGGTTATTTTCTTTTACTAAAACAAACAGGAACAAAGGAAGCCTAGAAACTTTGGCACTTGTTTCTAGAAGAGGTTGGATGGCGGTCATGAAGATCCAAGGACAAAGAAATAGCAATGTCCTGGAGTGTCCAGGTGCCTGAGGTTGTCGCCACCCTTGTCATACCCAAGTCCTTTCCAGTGGTTCCCTCCACCTGTTAGCTTTTCTCATACACATCCCAAATTACCTGGAGCTGTAGCACCTGATGTTTCTCCAACCTGACCTGGAGTGCCTGTCCCCTCGCGTCCTCACCCGGTCCTCTGCCCTAGTAGATTGTCTCCTGGCCTTCCCAATGCATCTGCAACAACCAGCTGGGCCCTTGACCAGAGTTCAAATCACTGGCCAGGGCTGGGTTCTTGCCATGTGGGAAAGAGAGGCGGTGGGCTGGCCAGAGGAGCTGGAGGACAAGCACGGCCCACAACCATGCCCTGTGTTATCTCCTGTAATTGGTACTAACGACATCCACCCAGTGCCCCTATGGTGGGCAGATAATGAGCCGAGGGTGAAGGTTCCCGGCTTGATGATGCTTTTGAGTGGAAAGTCATCCCTGCAGCAGAAACCAGGCCAGTGCTCTGGGAAGTGACCGTAGTCCCCAGAGTTGATAGCCAGTTCTGCAAGGGGATTGCTTTTCATGCCCAGGGGCCATTTGGTGAACTGTTCTGTCAAGCAGAGAGAACGAGGCTAAAAGACTCTATAGTCTCCCGAGACACGCAGACACTACCTTGTCCTCCAAAGTCTAGAACTTGGGGGTTCTAGTTTCCAACAGAAGAGATTGTCTGGAGGGACAGGACTTATGATCGTGGCTCTGGTTGGAAGTGGACAGGGTAGAATCCACTAGGGAGACAGGCAATTGTGCAGAGAGAAATTTCAGGAAGGTCCTCCAGCTGGGGCTGACAAACATCATCACCATGTACATCCATCCCCATATACCAAAGAGCTGCCAGCGAGCGTTTGAGGTACCACTCTGAATCGGGGCGCTTTGGACTGGCTTGGGACAAATCCTTAACAGAGGATACAGGTTCCACATGCTGATGAGCTCCCACCACTGGGTGGAATGTCAGGTTCCTGGTGGTGTATTTGTTGCACAGTTCTGGATTTCTTATTAAAAACCAAGTGTCCTCATGAAAATCTGCTCAGTGCTTGGAGGCTGTGAGATAAGATCCTTCTATGTAGCCCAGGCTGTCCTCACACCCATGATTGTCCTGCCTCTACCTATCCAATGCTGGGATCAGAAGTCTATGCCACCACACCCTGGATGGGCTCCTCAGTTCTTGTGGGAAGACACATCAGGAGTTTGGGTTGTGTCCCGAGGATACATCACCCTCTGGCTCACTTGTCCTACCTCCAATTTTCTGTCTTGAAGTCACCTGTTTCTGTGACAGTTCTGTGATACCCCCCAGGACAGGCTTCCCCTGGGACTTGCTACAGCTTTAAAGGGACAATGGTGTAGCCTAACAACACAATTATCCCTCTGGTGGAATGGGATGAGGCCTGCCTGTACACCAGTCTCAGAAATCCACACCACTCACCTCAAAAAGGACCAAGATTAATTCCCTGGAAGCTGGCCCTTACTGTGAAGAGGCACACAGCACCTTCAGTCTTGCTGTGGGTTTTTGGTGGTTACTAACCAGATTCCTTGCTACATTACAGATGCAGCTGCTTAATATAACACCTTAAATGGTTATATAATCCAGAGGCTGGCCCTTCACAGGTGAGGTCCACCGGCCATGACCTGGCCTTATCTGACCCTCAAGGCCTAGGGAATTCAGACACATCTGTGGATACCACTGACTACCTGATAGTTGCAGCCATGGAGAAACTTGTGCACCAGCTTTTCCTGCTGGCACACAGAGGTCCTTGTAGAAGCTTCATTGGGGCATGCCTGTAGGGCAGGGCTGTTGCCCTCTGGGAAAGGGCCAAGTTTAGAGATGATACCTACATGTAATTTGACAGGATTTTTTCCAGAAGACTCAAGTGACTCAGCTTCTTAGAGTGGAGTTACCCTCCACTAGTCAGGGACATGGGTGGAGCCTGAGTTGGGAGGGGTCTGTGCTTTACTTACCTGGAGACCAAGAAGGCAGCCTTTCCATGCTGGGCTCCCTTGAGGCACTCTATCCTCTACACAGGCCTCAGTTCATTTTCTGGTGGGATCTTTTCTCCCTCAGCTTTGAGTCGATAGAAGAAAAGCATGAATGTTCTCGTCTGTGGCATCAGGCCCTGAACAAGTTGTGGGAGCCAACTCTTGTGTGTTTATAGAGTCCCAATGCTTTCAAGACTGGGCTAGTCTTCCCCAGGAAATGAATGGTACATAGGACAGTTGTTAACACACGTACATTGCATGGGGGACTCTGGCCAATGTATTAAAGGTACAAGATCCTCAGCGACTACTAATGGGCCAGGCCCACTATGATGTGAGCTTTATGTACTGAATCAGCAGGACTGATTAACTCCATCCCTTATTCTGAAACAAACCTCTACAAGCCATCTCATAGCAGGTCATTGTCTCCTTGGAAACTGTCTCCCATAGCCATCAAATACTGGCTATGCTGTGACAACCAATGACGCTAAGAGTGGGCAAGTATGACCTCAGAGCATGACAGGCTCAAGCCATCTTGGTGCCTGACCTGTCCTCCTCAACCAGCCCTCTGCTAAGTGGATGACATGGCCCAGCTCCACCCCTAAGAAAAACATCACACACCAGAGGTTCCTAAAGTCGTTTTATTGTAAAACCATAAATACAACACTGACATGAACTCGTGAACACACTAGGCGGCTGATCCTCTAGTCATTGAAAGGATGTCTTTTTGCCTTGGCATCAACCAACTGGGAGATGTTTTGGGAGTCGGGGGAGGAACTGAATCTTGGGCTGGGGCTTTTGGTGACTTAAGGAACCCAGTGGAACCTTCTTCTTCTCCACGGGAACATTCCACTTTTGGACAAGAACAGACAGGTAAAAACAGCAACATTGAAACAGCTCAGTTTTAAATTTTATTACTTTGTAAAAAATCTCTCTTTTTAAATTTTTTCTGTCCCTTTCCTCCATTTAACATCAGTAAAATTTTTAAACATCATGAAATCGACTTGGCTGTAAAATGGAGAAACAGTATCCAAACCAAAAACAAAACACCCCAAAGGACACACAGAAAACCCTAAAGAAACCCGCAAGTTTGGCCTTGGGAGTTTCTGTATCACAAGAACTGGCAACTCAACCCCCATGCAATGTGGCTCCTTGAAGGACTGCTGGATCCACGCCATAGATACAGGAGACCACCAACGACATCTTTGTTAATTAGCACAGCAAGTGTGACCTAGGGAACTTTTTTAAATACAGTACATGGTACACAGGGTCCCTAAGACAGCCCTGCATAAACCCCCGTGAAGACTTGAGCCAAGCGCTGGCTGTTTATAAAAATATTATGTTGCTACAAAAGTATAAATTAATGCTACTGGTATTAAGAAATATTAAACACATAAAACTTATAAGGATTAAGAAAAATATTCATTAATACCTGTAGAAAACTCTGGCCTAAAAAAGATATTTTTTTTGTGTGTGTGTTTGCTTTTTTGTAAATTTTTTTGTGTTTTTAATTTTTTTTAAGATGACTTGAGTTTCTTGCACTTGAAGCGAGACACGGATGTGTCTATGGTATTGCCTAGAACGTCTTTACTACTGAGACAGGATGGGGGCGCACACATGTGGTCACTGAGTAGGAGGGCAAGAGGGATGGGGGCACCAAGGCGTTCTCAAGATTTACCTGATGTGAACGGATCACCCACATGAAATTGTGGGGCAAAGAAAAAAAAAAAGACAGGATCAGGAGACAACTGAAAATCACTCATGCCTCTTAAAAAATATCTCTGCTCCAGGTTGTTGTACAAAATGGTTTCCTGATGCTTGGGGTCCAGAAGGCCCTGCCACATGGCTCTTGCTCTTTCCTGGCTGGCCAGACCCAGCCTGCATCAGGCCACAAGTTTGAGCCCTGCTGGGGAAGCCACCCACCCTTGCTGGGTGGGAGAAGGGTCCCAGGAGAGCCTTCGGGTACCTGGGTTGTGGGAGGAGCCCTCCTTCCGGATGGCCTGCAAATTCAGGCCCCTAAGGACAAGGCTGGGCTGTGCCCCTTTAAGGAACTTTGGTTCAAAGAGTCAAGGTGCCCAACGGGATGCTTGGGTGGGTAGGACCTTGGTGGGTCATGATGCTAATGCTAACTCCAAGCCTTGTCAATTTCCCATAGGGGAGTGGAACCCTGAAGGTGCCACCCTCTTCCATGTGAGGACTACATCTGCTCAGAAACCACAGGTTCCCTTGGTCAAAGCCAGGGCTCTCTAGACTGCCATCCCCAGATCCAAAGGAGACAGGAAAAAAACCACCCCAGCCATAGAATCCCCTTAGAGCCCCTGCCAAGGGGAGATGGGAGGGAAGCCCAAGAGGGAACACTGTATCATTGGTTCACCATAAATGGCCTAGCAAACATTAGCCACAGTGAAAGGGAGGCGCAGTCTCCTTGCCAGCTCTCCCCGTGCCCTGGGGACTGGAGCCCCTGTGCACTGTCTCCAGGATATAGCCTGAGACTCAGTCTCTTGGTTCTGCCCCCAGAAGCCTTCCTCTAGATATATTCCAGACACAATAGTGTCACACCACTGCCAAGGCCAGGAAGCTTGGGGCTTGGCCCAGCTCATGGGATACTGAGTGCTCCTCTTCAAGCATGACATGGCAGGGTCTGGGTGGCATCTCACAGAGTATCCCTTGACCTGCATCCCAGCTTTGATCCTTCTTGGTGACCCTCTGTCCTCAGAGTGAGTATGGATGGTGCCCAGACTCTCCTCAGGTGTCCCCTTCCTTGGGCAGTCTAGCCTGAGGCCAGGAAAATAGGGGACCTTGGGCTCCAAAGCTTCACAGTGGAAAACATGCCTTGCCGAATTCTTCCAATTCTTCAAAGTGCAGGAGATAAAATCAGTCAAACTGAAATGAAGACTCTTCCTTCCTAAAAACCTGGAGCTGAGTTCTCATCAGTATTACCAGCTGCCCTTCTCACCAGGAGACGGGTACCTTTCCCTCAGCCCAGAGCCAGCCCCACAAGGCCAAATGTGAAGCCATCAAGTGGGATGGTGACATCATATGCGTTGTGGCCCATGGCTTCCTGTGCAGGCAACCCCTAGGGATGAAACGCAGACAGCTGTGCTCAGCACCCATCTTGCTTCGTGGTTGCTGAATGCCATGCAAGGGAGGCTTGACAGGTAGACTTGGGTGTTGAGAACAGAGTCATGGTGAGAACAAGTGTTTCCATGGACAACCACTCCTCACAGACTGAGACCACTTGAATGTTGAATCCCAGGCCAACAAGCTGCAGGCCTTGTCTTGGGCTTCATTGGGGAAACAAAGTGACCTCAGATTCATGGAGAATCTTGCTAATGGAAGTGCATCTTCTCTACTTCCATGTTTGGATTCAGGGATGTCAAAGCAAAGACCATTTTTTGGCCAGGGAATCATACAGCTTTGAGGTAAGCTATGAGAACAGGACAGAAATGGCCCAGCTTCCTGGTCTCCCAGACCCCCAAAGCCTCTGGTGTAAAGACCTTTAGTGGTCACAGAAGAATGAGGCAGATGACAAAAACTTTCTGAAGGTCAAGGCCAGCCCAGGCCATTGGAGATGAACTGGAAGAGCCTATCTTAGTGCTTTGGCTGAAGTAGAATTTGGTAAGGTGGCTATTGCTGTTGATGGGGCCTGTGGCTGGGCCTGGGAGATCTTTGGGATTTATTGAGCTGTTTGCTGCAGGATGTGCACTGTGAGATTGCCCACATGACAGCAGACACTGGGCACAGTCTTTCTAGTTGATGACACTAGAGAGAAATGATTGACAGCCTGCCATCTTATAATCTGTGAGGATGAGGCAGCCTTGGAGACAGGTTTCTGAGGACTGACTGAGGCTCACATTGAACCTACAGAGGCGATCTCAGCCCAGGGATAGATTCAAGGTGCCAATGAACTGGACAGGACGTAACGACCTCTGACCAGAAGCCTGGAGTTTAACACTAATTTTCTTTCTGGAGGCAGAATGTTCCATGCTCCGAAAAGAATGCTTGAAAAGCACAGCTGGGCTTGGCTGATGATTAGCCAATAACAGCAGCTCAGCCCAGCTCTGCCTGAGAATCTGTTCTCACTGACCGCACTCAGCACCCCGCTCCCAGTGTGGCTACAAGTGCCAGGTTGTGTCCCCTTCCCCAACAGCTGAGGGAGACTGGAGGTAGCCATCCTTAGCTATCCAGAGCCCACCTCCTGGAATGTTCCCCAAGCAGTCTGAAGACATTTCTCCATTCTTCAGGGAGCGACTCTGAGTTCCTGTCTAGATTTCTCCACTGTGGACAGCGGTTCCTCTGATGGTTAAGACCCAAGTTGAAGACAGTGTGCTGAAAATGCCTGGAAGTCCCCCTGGAGTAGAGATTGTAAGGTGGTTCCTGAGAACATAGCTTGCTGGAGTGAACGTGGGCACAGCCTTCTCTCATCTATCTGTATATCTGAGACTCTGCAGGAGAGCTGGGTTCGTCTTGTGAGGCAGAGTGCAGGCTTAGTCCTCAAGGACAGTGTCTGCAACCTTGAAGAGAATCGGAAGCCTTTGCGTCTTTAAACCCTCTTCACTCCTGTCCTGCTGGGGACTCGAGGGAGAGGGCTATGGGTACAGTGCTTTTGAAGTCGAGGTATCTTTCAGTTGAATAATGCTTTATGACTAGGAAGAGGAGGGCAGTCCAAGCCCCAGGTGGTAGAGGTGCTTTTGCAAATAGCCCCACAGGGGTGGACATTCTCAGCCTGATGTGTATGCACCCCCATCCCACAGCTGTGGTCCCTGAAGAATCAGGGATACCAAGGTCTTTATTTATGGGGTGGTTGTGCCCATCATCCTCTGAAGAGAATGGTGTCCCCTCCTGGCATCTGGTCTGTGTGTAGAAACACTAGCTCCTGGCCAGGGGGATCAGAGTGAGGGCTAACAGCCCCTTTCACAGCATCGAATGAAGCGCATCCACCCAAAGGATGTTCAGCCAGCAACGTACTGTGCCCCACCACCGCCCTGACTACAGGTCAGAGGTGCCTGTGAGCACCTCTGAGTGCTATAAGCTCCCAGAACCCCTGGGATCTGGGGAGGGAGAGGGACTGTGGGTCTGGTAGACACAAATGTGGAGGAAGCCACAGTCCCCGCAGAGCTGGAGGTCAGCATGTGGCGAGCAGCAGGAAGGAGTCAGTCCAGGGGCAAACATTCAAGAGGTGGACATTCACACTACCACAGGCAGGAACCAGGCAGTAGCTCTCTCGCTGACATTCAGGACCCCTAAAACCACATGCTGCCCACTATGGCTTCCACCAAACCCCACAGTCAAAGAACCACGTCTCCTCTCCACTCCCTACTCCAGACACACAGCCATATCCTTGATCTTTGTTTTGTGAGTCCTGAATACCACCAGTGAGATGAGCTAGTTTACAGTGTGACTTGAGCACTAGAAGGGGAAAGTATAACATGAAACAAAACTCCAGAACATAAGTTACGATATTCAGTGCCTCCCAGCAGAGTCTAAGTCAAATGTGAAAAGAAACTGAATCCCCCAAAAGATAAAAAATTGCTAAAGCATTGGAGGAAAAACAACAAACAAACAAACAAACAAACAAAATGAAAAAACCTTGAGTGTAGAGTCAGTTATACATCTCTGGAAAAAAAAGTCTTTTTTTTTTCTCTCTCTCTCTTATATTAAAAAGTAAAACATCAGCTTTATATTTTTAAAGTCTCCTTTCCTGATTTGGGGAGATAGATAGTGTGTATTCTAAGGCAGCTGCCCCAGACATCCAAGGGGAGGTCACAGGTACAGCAGCTTAATGCCCTGAAGGTGAAACAAGAACTGAAGTCCAGTGCAGAAACTGTCCATCTGATGCAGTTTGGAGAATCTGTCAGAGCAGCCGGGGCAGAGGATGGGCACCATGGGTTGAAGGGATGGAGGAATGGAAAGGAAGGGCTCGGGTTGGGGATGGGAGTTCAAGCCACTTCAGCCCTCAGCTGCCTGAACATTTCACAATCTCAGCTTCTCCCAATCTGCACACCTGAAAACGGAGTCCTTAGAGCCCCTGCCCAAGGAAAGTGAAGCCATCCTGCTTTCCCAGTCTCTCGGCTTTCCTGACACACCCAGCTCAATGCACACACACCCGAGGACAGGCATGCACACACGCACCAGGTTTGTGTGTGTGTGTGTGTGTGTGTGTGAGTGTGCGCGCATGCACGTGTGGAGCTTTTCTGGCTGTGCATTCAAGCATGAGCTCCCCATACCCTTTACCCACACAAAATGTCATGTGTGGGTGTGGACACATGTGCACACACACACACACAAATATACACACACACAAACATACACACACTGAAAAAAAAGCACTTAAGTTTCCAGGGGGCATTTACAATGAGGTTCCACAGTGTTTAGAACTTAAATTTCTTTGTGACAGTGTTGTGTGTGTTTTCCTAACGTTTTTCTTCTTTTCGTCTTTTTTGTTTGTTTGTTGTTCCCCAAAGTTGAGTCTTAAAGCATGTTAGATTTCAAAAACATGAGCTTGTTCATGTCTTCCGGGCTGAGCAGTCGCCTCCTTTTGATCAGAAGTGCTTGTTCACACATATTTACACACCCGCTTCGAGCCCCCACAGCAGGAACAGCCAGGAGCCAGAAGGCGAGCTTGGCAAGTTTCGTGTGCTTTTGGGTCACACATGACCAGTACTGGAAGAGGTCGGGAGTGGCCTGGAAGAGGGGTTCCTGAAGGTAGTCATATACTTCATTCTTGCCCAGCCGGTCATCTTCCTGAGCTGTGGGGTGCTCGCCGGTGGCTGAACGTGCCTTCTTGGTGGCAGGCTCAAAGTCGGCCTCCTCAGCCCAGGACTCCTTCACCTCATTGATGAGCTCACACACCTTGCTGATGATCTCCTCATGCTGATAGGGTGGCACTGGCCGAAGCTTCTGCTGAGGATCCAGGATCATGGCCACCTTGTGGGCTGGGTGCACCTTGAAGTTCTCCTTGAGGGCTTCTAGAAAGAGATGGCACAGCTTGCTGACGGTGCCTGCGTCGTTGGCTTTGGCTGTGAACAGCTTCTCTAGCCGGACGTAGGTGGGCAGCACCAGCTGCAGGGTGGGCTGGCTCTCATTACTGAGCTCGATGACCGCCTGCTTCACAGGTGTCAGGATGGCGGCCAGGTTGCTCAGCAAGTGCTTGTTGAGGCTCTGGATGAGGTTCATTTTCTTGGCACGGCTGTAGAACTCGCAGATCTGCTCATAGCGCTCATGGACCAGAAGCAGCGAGTCTGTCACTGAGTTCCAGCAGGGTGGTGGTGATGTCTCCTCCAGAGAGCCAAAGGTCTCCTTGGCCAGGCCCGTAGAGCCTGCTAGGTCCTCACACACATTGAGCAGCTCGATGACCTCGTGCATGCTGCGGGCCTGCAGCGTCCGCTTGCTCAGCACACTCTGCACCACTGAGTTCAAGGCACAGGCTGAGCAGCGGAGGCACATGCCAGCCTTGGAGAAGGCGGATGTGCTCACCCGGCAGTCGGTGACATACACGGTCCGGATCTCTGACATCACAAACTCTGACAGCACATTCTGCACCCAGTGATGCACCAAGTCACCACTCTCACGAATGTCTGCACCCTTCACACCTAGCACATAACTCTTGATGTGGTTGCCCTCAGCCTGGTAGGCTGTAAGGATGTAGCAGGAGTCAGGGCCCACACTCTGGGAGTGGCATGTAACACCGATGCCCAGGCAGGCATTGCTGCCCAGGGCACATGTCACCTTCACCTTCACCTGGTTGTACATGCGTGGCAGGTGCTTCAGTGCTAATGTGTTAAAGTTGCCCAGGATCTCGGTGACGGAGAAGGCCCCATAGCGGGCACCACTGTCTACCAGGGTTTGGGCCAACTTGAGGAACTCCTTCCCACTGACCACGCTCAGTGCACCCAGGTCAGCACACATGACCCGCAGCAGCCGTTCTGCGATGTTCTGCCGCTCCTTCTCGGGGATTATACTGTTGGGTGTCAAACCACTAGTTGTGGCTGGCAGGGGACACAAAGAGAAAAAGGATTACTTCTGACATTCAAAGCTGCTTAACCTGGCTGCAATAACACCCTAACGGGTTAGTATGAAAGATAACAAATAGATTTTGTGTTGCATACAAATTGGTATGGTCTTCTTTTTACAATCGACAGTACCGTAGGGATAAAGTTCTATGATTGATTGATAATGCCTGCCATGGGCATAAGAATCATATATAGTGATATGTGTGCAACATACTTGTCACATGCGCCAAACACCTAAGCCTTTGAATACAACCTTTTCTTCAACAGGAATTACACAGGAATCTTTAGTGACTAACGTGTTTTAGGGTCAGTGTCAAAAAAAAAAAAAAGCTTACAAAAATTGAAAATGTGAGGTTCTAGTTGTGATTCTGGCATTAAGTAGTGCTTTGGACACACACACGCACACCCCTTCTTCCTGGCCTCCTTTCAGCTACCCACAAGTAAAGAATTCCTGCCCGAGTCTAAGTACAAGTATGCTTTGGAGCTGTATGCATCATCTTCAGACCCATGGGAGGTAGAGATGGTAATAGCAGGGGACAGGACAGAGCTGCAGTGGGGCTGCAGAACTTCCGGGAGCCCTAGGCTCCAGCATGCTGAGACCTACTGTTGTTGGCACTGTTCCTCTGGGCCTGGGGTTTCCACTTCTCTTCCACTGCAGCAGGTGGAGATCGGGACTGGTTGGAGGCAATGTTGTTTTCACTGTCAGCTGCAGGCACAATGGGAATAATGGGTCACTTGGAAGGGTAAGAGGAAGCTGAAGAGTAAGATAAGAACACGTGTACGTGGGGGGCAAGGGGAAAAGCAACACATGGCCACAGGGAGCTGAGTTCAGGCTTCTCAGAAACTGTCTATGCTTTCAAAGCCTCATCGGCACACTCTGGAAACTGAGGACAATGGTATGGCTACCACACACAATGGTATGGCTACCACACAACTTCAGGAAGGACTATAGAGATGACAGAGAAGAGGCCAGGACATAGGGGACTCTTAGAGAACATGAGCCCTCCAGGAGCCCTATACCCACCATAGCCACAAAGCACAGCTCTGAAGTGTGCGTGCACTCTAAGAGCTCCAAAGTGTCTCACAATCTCTCACTTCTTTAAAGCATACTAGATAATCAGACTGTTGCCAGGCATAATAAGATAATCTGTATGATGATAAAGTGGCCAATTTCCTTAGAATATATAAGTCTAAAAACACATGTAGTTTTAAATACAAAAGTGAAAACCGAATTAACACAAAATGGACAAATTACTACTAGAGATCTGACTTACTTCTCTTAGCAACTGTTACTGAGAATAAAAGAGTTAGGGGGAAGAACATACATGGACTGAGCACACCACAGGAAGTCTATATATAGGCTGAAGTGATGACTCAGAGGTTAAGAATAAATACTGATCTCCCAGAAAGCCCGAGTGTGTTCTACAGCCCTCTACACTATAATTCCAGCTCCAAGGAATCTAATGGTCTCTTCTGGCCTCCACAGGCACCTCACACACATGTGGCATTCACTCACTCAAACAAATACACATAAAACATAAATAATTTTAAATAGAGGTCTAATGATAAGTAACCTGAGTCAAAAGTAAGGAGAAGAAATAACTCAGCAGAAGCATAAATTGAATGAAGTAGAAAATGGACAAGCATAAAAGAGCAAAACCAATGAAAACAAAAGCCAATTCTTTGCAAAGATCAATATACTTAATAAGCCTCTCACCAGAGGATACCAATCATTAGGATAAAGAGTAAAAAAGAGTCATCACTACAGAGCCCACAGATGTCAAAAGGACTAAAAGTAACTATGAACTTTAGGCCAACAAATTCCACAGTTTAGGCAACACAAGCACCTCAAAGACACAGAAACAAAGCTCATCCCAGAAAAAATTGGTAACTTAAACTTCTGTGCCCATTAAAGAAACAACACATAAAAGTAATTCCCATAAAGAAACCTCCAGACCCTTAAAGGTTCACTGGTTGATTTTATAAAACACTTAGGTAAGTAATAATATACATTCTATACAAATTCTCACAGAAAACAAGGGTAGTAAGACTATTCCACAATTCATTTTATGAGACTAGTATTCTTGTTATTTGTATTTTTGATGATAGCCATTCTGATTAGAGATGGAATCTTTTTTTTTTGGTTTTTCGAGACAGGGTTTCTCTGTGTAGTTTTGCGCCTTTCCTGGAACTCACTTGGTAGCCCAGGCTGGCCTCGAACTCACAGAGATCCGCCTGGCTCTGCCTCCCGAGTGCTGGGATTAAAGGCGTGCGCCACCACCGCCCGGCGAGATGGAATCTTTTAATCCAACATTAAAAAAACATTCTATGTGTATGAATGTTTTGCCTGCATGCATGCCTGGTACCTGTGGAGACCAGAAGAGGGTGTTGGATCCCCTTGGACTGGAGTTATAGATGGTTGTAAGTTGTCATGTGGGAGCTGGGAATTGAACCTGAGTACTCAGCAAGAGCAGTCACTGCTTTAAATCACTGAGCCAGCACCCCAGCCCCATGAGATGAAACCTTAAAGTAGCTTTAATCTGCATTTCCCTGAGTGCTAAGGATGTTATATACTTTCAGAAGTTTTAATTAGCCATCTTCATTTCTTTTAAGAACTCTCTGCTTAATTCCACAACCCCCCTTAAATTGGATTGTTTTTTTCACATTTATTTTATTTTATTTTTTTAGTTCTTTCTAGATACTAATCCTCTGCCCAATACACAGATGGAATTTTTTTCTTCCATTTTGTAGGCTGCCTCTTTATTCTGATAGATTATTTTGCTGTCCAGAAGCCTTTTAGTGTCAGGAGATTCCATTTCTCCACTGTTAGTCCCCGTGTTTCCCCAAGTCCTATTCAGAAAGTCTCGAACTACTGAAGTGCACTCTCTACTTCCTTCTGTGGCAGTTTCAGGGTATCAGTTCTTAGGCTGAGGTCACTGAGCTGAGTTTTGTGCAGGATGAGAGACAGAGATCCAGTTTCATCGTAAACTAGTGCAGACACCTTGGAAATAGGGCTTCACAAACAAGAAACAAACAAAAAACTAGAAATCAAACTACCAGATGACCTAGCTAAATTTTCCCTGGGCATACACCCAAAAGATCTCATATCACACTACAGAGACCCTGGCACATCCACATTCACTGCTGCCTGATTCACAACATCAAAGAAATGAAAGCAGCCTAGATGCCCATCAACTGATGAATGGATAATGAAAATGTGGTACAAGTACACAATGGAATTTCATCCAACTATAAAGAAAAATTAAATTATGATGTTTTCAGGTAAATGATTAGAACTGGAAAAAAAATTACACTGAATGAGATAACCCATGCCAGGAGAAATGTCACGGTCTTTTTCAAATGTGAATCCCAGCTTCCACTCTTTAGCTTTAACCTGGAACCCTGGAGACTAGAAAGAGGAAATCAGGACGTGGAAGTGCCTTAAAGGAGCAGGGCGGGTGGGGTGAGGTGGGGGGTTATAAAGTCAGGCAGTGATGGCACATGCCTTTAATCCCTGCATTTAGAAGGCAGAGGCAGAGACTCTGAGTTAAAGGCCAGCCTGGTTTACAGAGCGAGTTCCAGGACAGCAAAAGCTACACAAAGAGAAACCCTGTCTCAAAACCCAACCCCCAAAAAAGGAGGGGGCTAGAAGACAGGTAATAGGAAAGTAGAGAGTGGCAACACTGAGGTAGAAATGTTTAAGTGGGGTGAGGGAGTGGTAGATGAGGGATAGAGGGTTAATATACCATTTTGTAATCAAAGTTAAAAATATAAAAGCCAGATTTATGAGAGATACCCATTATGGCTTGATAACACTTCTCTTGGAAGCAGTGAGTCACCATACGAAATTCCAGGTGCCAGGTGTTGGGTACCTTGAAGAGTTGGTCAGGCCCCCAAATGACTCAGGCTCTTGTCAGTCCTCCTGGATGCCAATCAAAACTCGAGTGTAAGACCCTGTTGCTGAAGATTCTACACACATTTTTATAACAGAGAGAAAGCTGGAGCTCAGCTAGACACTTCCTCCCTCCTGGCTAACTTCCAAAGGGCCAGAAGTTGTGATGCATGCAGGCAACTAGGAGAGAAAAGGCATCACAGGACACCTAGCTAGGAACCTTACTAACTACCAAACCAGTGTTCTAGGCAAGAGGCACCCCCCCCCCCCCCCCGTGTACTAATGGCACAACTGTCATGTAATCAACTAATCACCCTCTGATTCAACTGGAGTCTCACTCCACAGGAAGGAATTCAGGCTTAGTATTGTAAGTCAGGTCGACAATCCATACTTGGGGAAGTCATAGGTCCAAGGGGATGCCGTAGTACTGTCGTTTAACTAACATGACTAAGCACCTCTTTTACACAAAGAGACAAGAGCTACTCGTAGCCTTAACTAAGTCTCTCTTTACAGTGAACGGAGGTGAATGCAGAGACTCATGGCTGCCCAAGGTACTGAGAGTAAGGGATGTCTGAGTGCACACCCCTAAAACAAAATGTATACTACTCCTACTAAGGTTCAGGGAACACTGAGGATGAGGGATCAGGAAGAACGGACGAGCTGCAAGACACGGAAAAGGACTGCAAATGTCATCCAGGCACAACACAATCATTCTAATCACGAACTCACCGCAGCTGTAGTTACCTGCATTGGACCTGCATAAGACCAGCCCTGTCAATAATCAGCCATGGATGTGGGAAGGCTAAGGAGCCCTACCCCTTATTACTAAACTAATAGCTATAAGAGACTCTGGGAGATGTGGGAGCAATCATCTTCTGTTGTGTATCTACTGCTAAGCTCACCAATGGATAGTTCTAAACCCATTTTCTTAGAGTTTCTATTGTTGTGACGAAACACCATGACCATAAAAGCAAGTTGGGGAAGAAAGGGTTTACTCAGGCTTTACACTTCAGCATTGCTGTTCATCACTGAAGGAAGTCAAGGCAGGAACTCCAACAGGGCAGGGAACTGGAGGCAGGAGCTGATGCAGAGGCCATGGATGGTGCTGCTTACTGGCTTGCTCCCCATGGCTTGCTCGGCTTGTCTTCTTATAGAATCCAGGACCAGCGGTCCAGGGATGGCACCACCCACCATGGGCTGGGCCCTCCCCCATTGATCACTAAATGAGAAAATAGCTTACAGCTGGATCTCAAGGAGGCATTTCCTTAGCTGAGATTCCTTCCTCTGATGACTCTAGCTTGTGTCAAGTTGACACACAAAACATCCATGGTCACGCAGATAGCTATAGTTAAATTCAGTGAGTCACAAAAAAAACCAGATGGGAATGTGGGGAAGTGGTTTGTTGTTGTTGTTGTTGTTGTTTGGGGGGTAAGTAGACAGGAGTATAAAAAGTTGAGAGAGGGTAGGGAATGAGAGTAATTAGAATGCACTCTATATATTCAAGTATCCTAGACTTTGTAGTTTGTGGCTTCTGAAACCCTTCTGCTTCCAAGCATTTCAGAAGAGGGATACTCAACCTGCACCTCCAATAGTTGATGGAGAAATAGATACCTGTCAGGCTGGGTCTTAGAATGCACCATAGTCTTTGGATACATCACCCCTGCAACCTCATCTTTGGGAGCAAAAACTCTTACAGTGGAAACGAGGAAGTCCAAAGCTGTGAAGTGGCTCGAGGCATCAGAAATCAGAGGTGTCCGCCACCTCGATCTAAAACAGAGGACCACTGACTTCATTTATTCTCTGGAGAGTCTCCC